GGAGGTGGGGTGAGGGTATGGGTAGATACCAAGTTGGACTGGCGAGGAATAGGCGGTGATCGGGACTTTAGGGGCCTTCAGTAGTCCGAGTGACAGGAATCTGTTCCGAACGACCCTTTCAGATGTGCTTCACTTGAGGTCAGCCGACCTACTCTAGCATCCATATCTCTTGCTAAGATCTTGATATTAATCCTCTATCACTTTACGCAAGAGGTCGTGTAGATTATGATAAGATTCATCTTTGACTGTATCCAGGTTGCACTTCTTTGGGGTGTACACTGACATGACAAGCAAGTTTCGTCCACCAAGACGATGACGCATACTTTGCACGAACATTTAAGTCTCACTGTGCACAATCTGCTGTCAAATGGGATCCAGCCCAGGGGCGTGGTTTCATCTCTCCCACCGAGGGCCTCACCAATGCCGGCAAGATCGGAAGCTGTGGCCTCAGGGTCCCCAGAGAGGTGTAAGTGAAAATCCGTAAATTGCTTTAATGGTTACATCAACCGGATAATGCGATTCTCTTGGATACAACACACATCGATGGCTGGGGTCTCGAACGTACGAGCTAAATATGTCTGTTGTCCTACATGTATCAGAGTGCGTAAATTAAATGTGGCTAGTTTGATGAGTTTTGACGATGAAGAACGACTTCAGCTGATGGAGGATTCGGTGAGACTTGAATAGTAGTCGAAATAGAATACGAGAGAGTTTCCACCTGAGGCACTATTGTTATTACGATCGTCTGGAAAGCCAAGAGAAGTACCGTCACTGGAGGGCATTCTTTTCGTAACGAATGTGGAAGGAGCAGCGTTTTCATTGGATCGGTCAGTTCAATGAAATATCGGTAGAAACGAATCGGTAGAATAACGATAAAACGATCGATTCTACTATTAGGTTCCCGTTGAGTGAAGTGAGATGGCAATCTTGCAAAGCGACAAAAAGTGCTTCGAATGCAATTTTTGTCCCTTTCTCAATTGGTTATCCTCGTGATCCGTCTGTCGTAAATACGCATCCCCTAAATAGAGTTAATTCTGTGAAGTATCTGGGAGTTACAATTGACACTAACTTAAAGTGAACATCCCATATTTACAACTCTGTACGGAAAATTCGCAAATTATCTTTTCAACTTCTAAGACTTAGACAGTTCAATGCCAAGCAAAAATCATTTCACTTCTGTTTATCAATGTGTTCTCCTCGTTTTTCTTTATTGTTCCCCGGTGGTCTACTAATGAAAGACTTCAAAATTCTTCGTCGAGGTTTGTCGATCATCAGTAGT